AGGGTTTATACCGGATCGGTGATTTTTCACCTGAAACCCGATCTCACCCCGTCCCGAACCTACCTATTATATAATCTGCCTTGCTCCTCCCTGCACTTTGAAATTAAAAAAAAAATACCGCCTATAAGATTGGATTAGGTCTGGACTCATTGGGTTTAAGTATTTTGACCATCCCTAACGGTTAGATTTAAATGTTGATTTAACCAAAATAATTATATGGTATAATAATAATTTTAATCCCTAAAACTTACATATTCTTTTATGCAAACTAATTTTTTTTACAATGAAATACTTTGATAAAGCAAAGTAATTTGTTTACGGGACAAACTAGGTAATCCAAGTCGGACGGGTTGATGTCTGATCCTTTGAGGTGCTCTTCTCCACCAACGACTTCTGAACATGTCTGTGTTTTCAGATATGGGTCAAGTAATGATTTGAGGGCAATCGTTTTCTTGAAAATTTAAAATTAATATATATTTTATTTTTTTTTCTATGTGTTTACTATTGAAAATGTATTTTTGTCCAATAAAATTTTATAAATTCAAGGTTGTCCTCCAAAAATTTTAAAAGTTCAAATTCGTCCCCAAACATAAATCACGTGTATTACTTTGATCAATCAACAAATTGAATAGATTGTAAAACGTCTTCAACAACTTATATGTTTCGACAAAATTGACCCAATAAGCCATCCGGGTAAAATAATTAGCCCATTAGACCAATATAAATTTTATTTTGTAATCTACGATAAATGTTATAATGCAAGGTAAACTCGTCACACCTATATGACGAGTTTGCCTAAATAATATTTTTTATTGAAACTCGTCACATTAATGTGACGAATTTTAATAAAATATAATTTTTTATTAAGATTTATTATGTCGACGTGACGAGTTTCAAGTCACTACAACAAATATCGTAGATCCCAAAATAATTTTAAAAATAACCTAATAAGCCAATTTTTTTACCCGTATGACTTATTGGACCAATTTTACCTATACGTTTCTACAGTACAATAGGAAAAAAAGAAGTGGACCAAGGCCCAAATAAGAGTCCAGAACCCGATTTGCGAAGCATAACTAGCTGGGATGTCTCCACTGTCCAATCACAAAGCTCTCCGTCATCGCTTCGTTCGGACTTGGGGATCAGCAGGTACAAATTTCACCCAAAAATTTTGCTTCTCGATCTCGTTTCTGTCTTCAAAAAACTCAATCTCACTGGAGAAATGATACCTCTTATGTTTTGCAGTAACTGAAAACCTATACGAAGATGCAAATATTCGTCAAAACCCTAACCGGGAAGACTATCATCCTCGAGGTCGAGAGCAGCGTCACCATCGACAATGTCAAGGCCAAAATCCAGGTTCTTCTTGATCCGTCATGTTACGCATGATCCAATCTTCAATTTCGATTGTTTCCTTGCACTATATTTCGAGTTTTTGCCAACTTAGGTTTACAGGAGATAAATTTGATCTTTATGAATGATTCCTTTATATTTATTGTTATTTTTTATATGTACTTAGCACTTGTCTGAATATTTGCATAGAGATTACTTTGGGGATATCAGTGTATAGTAAAAAATTGGATTCGACTCTATCCGGTCCATTTTTTTATTTGGATTCAGATATTATGTTTACAATGAGTGGTTTGGAAGCAATTTCAGATACGGATCATTCGATATCCATCAGTCGAAGGCAGTTTGATTTCGGTTCAAAAAGTGTCTGATATCCGAATTCGTTATCCGAATCCAGTATATTTGTGTGGATAAATTATTTGAATGTCCCAATCTGATATCAATTGCAGAAGAAATATTGGATTGATGCTGTTTTAAGTTCATCTATTTGTGCTCTCCCGGTAGGAGTTGTTTCAACATAATGCTTTCTTCATGATTCCCGATCATGGATTACATTTTATAGGATAAAGAAGGCATCCCTCCTGACCAGCAGAGGTTGATATTTGCTGGTAAGCAACTGGAAGATGGCCGAACACTATCTGATTATAACATCCAAAAGGAGTCCACTCTTCACCTTGTTTTGAGGCTTAGGGGAGGAACCATGATCAAGGTGAAGACTCTTACCGGGAAAGAAATCGAAATCGACATTGAACCGACTGATACCATTGATCGTATCAAGGAACGGGTTGAAGAGAAAGAAGGAATTCCTCCAGTTCAGCAAAGGTACCCTTTTTGATCATCTCTGTTTTACTGAATGCGTCCCTAGGATTTATTTGATTTGTGATTTGAAATCCTTAATGCGTTATTTTCCATCGGCTGATATAGCATTTTGGGGTACTACACTACCACTAGACCATGTATCCCCAGACATGTACGGAAGACTTTATTTCACTACTCTGTATGCATGTATATTCTTTAATCTTTATTTAGGTATTTTGAGCCAAATTATTCAGGAAGGTAGCTCATAGTTTAGATTCCATAGTTATTAAGAGGTAAAACATTATTCGGTCCGTCCGATTGAGTTGTTTGACTGTCCAAGTTCTTGGATTAAGTTCATAACGATAGTCAATAGTGCTCTGGTTCTCGCCTTTGTCAAATGAATGAATGTTTTGAGCCATCTTGCCATTTTAGTTTAAACCAAGATGGTTTGACCACTTGTAACAGGCTTATATATGCTGGGAAGCAACTTGCGGATGACAAGATGGCGCGTGACTACAATATTGAGGGTGGCTCTGTGCTGCATCTGGTGCTTGCACTGAGGGGTGGCTGTCTCTGAGATGGTCCATCCCAAAAAATACTAGACACGACAGAACCTGCTCCAATTTTACTTTCGGATAAAATCTTATGGGTTTGCATTTGATCTGATGACAAATGCATGGAACATATATCCCTCAGGCACAGATGTGTTGTGTTAGTATAAATTTGCCTTGTTTGTATGGCCTAACAATCTCACGAGGATAAAAAATATACATATGAAAAAAATATACATATGAATAGGGTTGTAAATGAGACGAGATAGATCGTGAGTTATTTGAGATCGACTCGGTCAAAACTCGATAAATACTCGACTCGAGCTCGACTTGAGTTCTTAATGAGCCGAAACGAGTTACTTGATACTTGACTCGAAAAGCTCGCGAACAATTCGAAAATATAATATATTAAGATTTTATTTTTAAAAAATATAAATTATTAATAATATAAACATTTATGTGTGAACTTTTATTTTAAATACAATATAATGTTTTTATGTATTTAAAGTTTAAGTTTGAGGTTTAATTAATTTATGTTTAAGATTTTTTTTTATTTTGAGTTTTTTAGTTTTTACGAGTTTTAATTCAAGATTTTGAGTTTGAGTCGAATTTGAAAATTTTAAGTTTGTGAGTTTTTGAGTCTAGTTGAGTTCAGCAATATTTGAGTTCGACTCGGTTAGTTTACAACCATACATATAAAACATAAAAGTCAAAATTATAAATATTTAATATTCAAATTTTATAAACATCATTTAAGTAACATAAATATTTTAAAATTCATCACTACATAAACAAACATTAGAAATAGGTGTAAACAACATTTTTTTTTTGTTAGTACGTCAGTTCACCGTGTTGCACCAACCATATCCCAACCATAAATTCGGTTGAGGTGATTAAGATTAAGGGTAAAATATATATTTAGTACTTAAACTATTAGTTTTATTATCTAAGTTTTTTATTTTTTTTTAAATCATACTTATTGTTTAGTTTTTATTTCATTTTTTTATTCTAATGTTAAAGTCTTAAAGCGTTTAATACCCAAACTATCAATTTTGGGTTGTTTTTGTATTTAGAGTTTCAATTTTTTTTCTTAAAATTTAACGTTAAATTTTGAACATAGATACTCAAATGAAATAAAAATTAAACTTTAGGTATGATTTTGAAAAAATTGAAAGTTTATGTATTAAAAAAATTAAAATTGATAGTTTAGGTACTAAATATGTAATTTACCTTAAAATTAAAATTGAATTATTTAATATTAACCCATTTAAAATATTTTCATTATTTTAATGTTATTTTAGTTTAGATTTTATAATGTTAGAAGATTTATTTTGATTTAGATTTGAATATATTCCAATTCTTCATATATTAATCATAATGATTAATTTTAGTTGTAGTTATATGAATATATTGATTGTAATTATAATTTTATTTATAAATTATGATTATGTAAATATATTGATTATAATTTCAATGGCAACTTAAAATTTCATCTACTATCAACAAATTTCATAATTCATATAAGCATGATCATCCAACAATTGTTAAAATGCCGACATAAATAAAATAGTTCAACCATAAAAAGCTAAAAATGTCTAATAAAATTTTAAACTATATATATATATATATATATATTTCAAATGAAATAATTTCTATATATACATATTTAGACTATTTTCAATTTTCAAATTAAAATGATTGGATAATCAAAACTTAAAAAAAAAATTAAACGTATTTATTAATTATAACCCACTAGCTGGAACCAGTTCAGCTTTAACTAAATAACACAGTCGCACTTTAATACATTTGATAGAAAAAATAGATTAAAGTAGGTCCTGACTATAGAGTACTACTTTATTAAGTCCTTAGACTATTAAAAGTTATAAAATAGTTCTTTTATTATAGAATGTTGTTTTATTAAGTCCATCGACTATTAAAAGTTACAAAATGATCACCCGATTATTCATTATGTTCAAGAGTCATCCTTTTACGTTAAAAAATAGACGGTTGTCTATGCTAGACGTTAGTATGATAAGTGAAAAATGATAGTCGTTTGAGGTTTTAAGATCAGATTTTGTCATATCACAGTCAACGGGTTAACGTTAAGCTCAGAATACCGTCAATTTTCGAACGAAAAGGACGAGTTTGAAACATAATGAATAGTCAAGTGATCATTTTGTAACTTTTAATTATTAGGGGACTCAACAGAGTAATACTCTATAGTCGAAAGACTATAATATAATTTCTAATAGTCGAAGGACTTAATAAAACAACCAATTTTGAATTTTACCAAGTAAACAACTAATTAAAAGAGGAAATACACAAAACAAGAAGAAAATATATAAAAGAAAAGATCCCACACAGAATTGGTAACCGGATTAAGCTGGTGCGTGGTGGTGATGAAACAGGTTTGAGGTCAGCAACTGTTGATGAAGAACACTTTGCGATGAACTTGTTTATTTGGATGTGTAAATGTGAAGCCTCCAGCAATTGTGGGAAAGCGTAGAACGCATGGATCATGTTGGGATACTCCGTCAAGCTCGCCTCTTTTCCCGATCTCAATAGCCATTCATAATACCTTCTCTGCCAATCTTTCAACGGGTCAAATCCCCCCACCACCACCATCGTCGCCGGAAAATCCAACTCCGATATGTCATCTGCGTTGGGACCGCTCACATTTGCCGCCCCATGGTCTCGGTTCGACCCCTCCGGCAAATACGCCTTCCAGCACCAATCCGTTCTCGGTACAGATACAAGTAGTAGTGGATCCATCAGCTTAATCTCCGACTCGGTTCTCTCTTCTCCTCCGAAAAATGGTTGTATCGAGATCAGCCCGATGATCTTCACTGTTCCGAGTGCTTTGGTCCGGCATGCTCGGATTGCCACGTGGTGAGCCAGATTGGCGCCAGCGCTGTCGCCTGCGAGGAAGCAGCGGGTTCGGTCGGCGTTTTTGGGTAGGACTGTGGTCCAGTTTTGGTCGATGAAGTTGACGGCGTCGAACCCGTCTTGGTGTTGCGAAGGGTAGCGGTGTTCGGGAGCTAGACGGTAGTTGACGGAGATGACGATAGCCGAGAGTTTGGAGGCGAAGTTACGGCAAACCAAGTCGAAGCAGACGGAGGCGGCGGTTAGGAAGCTGAAACCGCCTCCGTGGAAGAAGACAAGAACGGGGAGGAGTTGTCGGTTGTCGGAAGGGGTGTAGAGACGAACCCAAAGGCTGCGAGCGGCGTCGATGGAGATGTCGGAGGATGAGATGGAGCTGGTGGAGGCGGGAGAAGTCTGATAGTCGAGGAAGTGGATGAGACGGCGATTGGCGGTGCCATTGGGTCGGAAGGCGATGTCAGTGACGGCGGAGATGATTGAGAGTGCGAGTTTTACAGTCCAAGGCAGCGGTGGCCTTGTGAGTTTACGTTGATGAGGCTTTTGAAGGAACATGTTTATTGCTAGTGTTCAAAATAGTCAAGGGGAATGGAATGTATTATATATATATATATATATAGAGAGAGATGTTCTATTTACATAATATAAATTATTTTAGTTATATATAAATTTAATATCATTGGATAAATGAAAATAAATATTTAAGATTGATTCTTTATTCTCCCAACAAATATTTTTTTATTTGTTAATCTAACAGTCTATTTTCACTCATCAAATAATTTTAAATTTATATAAAATTAAAAGAGTTTTATATTGTGTAATGAGACTTATTCCCATATATATTTTTCGCTAATTTATTTATATTATCACATTATACCATAATTTTATATTAAATTATATCACTCAGTCGTTAAGACACTAACGAGATTAGAACATGAATATTCATATCAATAATAGCCATCAAAACAATGTTAAGTTATTGATTTAAACATAATGACATAATTGAATGTAAAATTAAAATAATATGTTATAATAAACATAATTAAAAATTTGATAATATATACAAATCAACAAACAAAATTTAATAATATCTTGTATAGTTTATCAAGAATATCCAAGTGGGATGATCTAAAAACTTTCAACTGTACAACCGAATTATAATTGAAATGAATGCATGGCTCCGTTGACCGGATGACAGCACTTGCAAGTTGAAGCCTTGTTGGTGAGGATTAGTCGCCATTGATGCATGCATGCATGCAACATTTCATCACTTCAACCATACTCCATTTAATTCCACTTTAGGTTGAGGCGGCCACGTTATTAAAGCAAAACTGTCAAGTGCGTGTGAGATTGATATTAGGGAAGAGACGGAATAATAGTTAGTGACGAATCTAAAAATATCATTAAAAAAATAAAATAGATACATATATATTAATAATATTTTTTTTTGGGATATGTTGAATTTTATTATCAAAAGAAAGCAGAAAATTGCTACAACAAAACAAGAGCCAACAAAAAATCCAGGCTCTAAACAATTCCCCACCTATCACAAAGAACCCTATTTACATCATCATCTCTATTAAATAACCTGCCACTAATTTTAATCTGCACCGTATCTCTAATAACACCAAAAACATCATCCTCATATTTAAATACATTCCAAAACAACCTATAATTTCTTTACTCTGATATACAATATATATGTGTGCTCCCCAAGCTATTCTAAGAATGAAAGTAAGCAAAGATTTACCTTTGAAAAAACAAACAGCCCAAGCCAACTCCTCTTCCCAGCGGAGAACCTGTATGGAAACATCACAATATCGCAAGATCGTAGCCCAGACCTTCTTTGAAAAAGGGCACTCGGAAAAAAATATGATCTCTAATTTCCATTCCACCACCACAAATACCACAAAGGCTTTCCACCACCAATCCCATTCGAAGCAATTTGTCCCTCGTTGGAAGTCTTCCTAGTATCGCCATCCAACATATAATAGCAAACTTTGGGACTTTCAAGGGGAACCAGATAATCCTATGCCAAACAACTTTATTTTCACCCCTAGAAACAGAGGACCAAATCATAGATAACTTGATCCCTCGCACATCAATAGCAACAAACAAAGATCGAGCTTCCAATCGAAGAGCAAGCAAAGACTGAAAGATCTGGTTGGCATTGACCTTGCACCCCACCTTCCAGAAATCCACCCCCTTAAGCACATACACTTTTATCCAAACAACCCATAAAGAACTCTCCCCAATCAATATATTCCTTATAAGCATAAACAAACAAACCTTACTCCAAGAAAACATGCTCTTCACGCCAAGACCCAATTTTGATTTTAAGGTACAAATTTGCTTCCAACTTACTCTAGCCCCAATAGCAGTCGAATCACCCCCTTCCAGAATAATCTAGCACAAAGCTATTCAATATGAGCAATAACAGCTCGAGGCAAAACTAATTGGTGACACCAATAATTTGTAATGTTGTATAAGTCAGCCTTTATTAGTTGAAGCCTCCCAGCATAACTAAGCTTTTTGCTAGCTCATTGACCATGTAAAACCTTAATCTTCTCAATAAGAATTGCACAATCACTCTCAGTCAACTTCCTTGTCACTAAAGGGACACTAAGGTAGAAGACTGAGAGTTTACCAACAGAGAACCCTGAAAATTCCCGAATAGCCTCCAATTGAGCCACACTAACTCCAGAAGTAAAGAGCTCACTCTTCCCCGCATTCAGTCTAAGACCATACCACTTATAAAATTGCTATAAGATGCAGTGAACTCCCACAATCGAATCCAGAGAACATTTACAAAATATTAAAAGGTCATCTGTAAAACACAAGTGAGTCAATCTCACATTCTTACATTGAGGATGATACCCAAACAAACATTTCTCAGCAGCTCTATCCAAAAGCTTGGAAAAAATATTCATAGCTAAAACAAAAATGTAAGGGGAAAACAGATCCCATTGTCTTAATCCCCTAGAACCCTTCAATAATCCCACCAAGGAGCCATTAAGAGGAATCGAAAATCTAGGTGTCGTAAAACAGGCTCTAATCCACTTCTTAGACAGATCAGGAAGGCCAACAACATCCAAAATACTCAAAACAAATTCCCAACTCAAAGAATTAAACGCCTTATGTAAGTCCACCTTTAAAGCGCATCTAGGAGACAAAGTCTTCCTAGCATATCCTTTAACCAACTTCTGGTCAAGCAGCGTATTATCAATAATACTTAGGCCCTTCAAAAGAGCAGTCTGATTCAGGAAGATCAAATCTGAAAAACCAAAGCCAACCTCTCCACCATTATCTTGGTGATGGTCTTGTACACAACCGAGCAACACGAAATAGGTCTGAAATCTTTCACCAAACATGGGTTCAGGACCTTAGGGACAAAAACAACCACCGTAGAATTAAAAGCCGGAAGAACAGAGCAAGACTAAAAAAAGGAACTAATTTCCCTCACAAAATTAGGTCCAACCACATCCCAATCCGCCTTAAAACACAAAGGAGAAAATCCACTCGGTCCAGGGGCTTTATTATCTCTCTGCGCAAAAATCGCCATTCGAACATCCTCAGTCGTGACCTCACGTACCAACAAATCACTAATAGTCCCGAGAAGAAATTCACAATTACATTAACCATACCATCAAAAGTATCGAACCTATTTCCCTGTCCATCTTGAATGTCCCTAATAGTATTCTTCTTATGCATAGTAGCAATAATGTAATAAAAAAACTTAAAACCCTTATCCTCCTCTTCTAACTAACGAATCTTTGCCTTTTGCTTATAAAAATGAAGCTCTGCAACTTCTAAATCAATCAATTCAGACAAAAGAAAATGTTCCTTATGAGCATCCACCCCACTATCATCAAGCCTCAAAGAAAGGTTACACAGCTGCTGCTTCTCTAACTCCTCTCTTTTCACAACAACTCTCTTCGAAATATCACTCAAATTCTTCTCATTTAAAGATTTCAAACAAGGCTTTAGTATTTTAAGTTTTTGAAAAAGAATATGCATAGGACTTCCCTCTCTAGGCTCATCCCAAGACCTCTTAACCACATGTAGGAAAAATGTTTCACCCAAAAAATGAAGAATTTGAAGGGCTTAGGCTTGCTAGTAGGAAGGTCCTTAGCAAGGCAATGATCCGAGTCACCCGGAGCCAAAAATTCCACCAAAGATTCTGGAAATCTAACCGCCCAATCAGAATTAACAAGGATCTTACCCAACTTCCTTGCCAAAAAATTATCGCCTTATCTATTCGACCAAGTAAATTGAGGACCATTATAGGGATGATCCATAAGATCCAAATCCTCCAAGCAGTCTTTGAATTCTCTAATTTCAACCCCAAAATGAGGAATATAGCCATCATAATCCTAACTCTCCATTGGGTTTATAAAATCACCTCAATCACCAAGGGAAAATCCCCAACAAGTCTGCTTACAGTTTTCAATTGTTGCCAAAGCATTCTTCTCTCAATATTAGAATTACTACCATAAAGAGTAGATACAAGCACCTCATTATCCATCCATTTACCCCTTATTGTGATCACCTGACTATCAATAGAAAAAGGAACCATATCAACACCCTTCTTCCAGCAGAACTATATATGCCCATTAGGAATAACACTGCAATTTGCACAAACATTCCATTCATCTAAAACCCCTGAGGAGATAATAGACAACTTAGCCTCTTTCACCCTTGTTTATAATAAACAAGCCACCTCAATCTGAAACAAATTTAGCCTTCGCAGAGTCCTACCCTATTTCTGGGGATTATTAAACCCCCTTACATTCCAGAATCCAAAAAACATTGCACGTTAGAAGACAAAAAACCTCTTGCCATACCACTAACAACTTCTCCACTCCCTCTAGCTTTATCCAAATGATCTTTCTTTTTTGATTTCAAATCTTTCAACAATTGAGCAACTCCCATAGAAGCAGCTCGAAGCCTTCTCGGCCATATTCAATATTTGACAAAATATCAAACTTATTGCTTGAACTAATAAAAGAATATTTGCCCTTATCCATGTTTTTTAACCGACGACCCAACATTTGACCCCCACAAGGCCTTTCGAAGACCTCTCCACTGTTACAGTAGCATAAAAAACAGGCTGCTTGTCAACAACATCGACAACAGGTTCCAATTGATTAACAAAAGTCTGCTGCACTACACCAACAATCTCTCATTTCTCATTAACATCAACTTATCAATAATCGACTGAACTTCACCAACAGTTTCCACATTCTCATGGACATCACCACCAGAGGAACCAACATTAATAGTCGACTTAACCTTCCGCACAACAATGGGAGCTTGCTCAGGTTTCGCTGGGCAGTACCTATCCGAGTGCCCAAAAATGCTACACCTCGAGCAACATGGAGGGAACCAAGGGATAACAATCCTAATTGTCACAGTTAACCCATCACCCAAAATAACTTCTACCTCCTTAGGAACCTTAGAACCAACAGTAACTTTAATGTACTAAAACGATAAAAGTGATAGTTTAAATACTAAAACGTATTAAAAATGATAGTTTAGGTACTAAACACGTAATTTATCCTTATTTTTAATGTGAGGGTTTTATGTACAGTATTGTGAGTTACAGGCGCTGTCGTAACTATCGAGCTGCGAAAGGGAAAGAGGAGGTGGGTATCGGAGTAGTTCGGAAAAGAAAAGAATGAGCGGCGGCGGAGATATACACGCGGCAGCTAGGTCAGGCGATCTTTCAAAACTTCAATCAATTCTGGCGTCCAACCCTTTGGCCGTAAACTCCAGAGATAAGCACTCCAGAACTCCGTATCCTATTCTTATTCTATTCCTATCCTTCCTTCTTCGTGAATAATTTGGAATTGTTCGTGTTGATTTTAGCAGTATTCGGTATAAAATTTTGTCTTCTTTTTCTCCATCTGCCTCTTTTTTGTTTTACCCAACGAATTGCAGATTGAGAAGTGAATTCATCATTATTTAAATACTGTTAGTTGTATGCACTCGAGGTTTGATCGATCTTTTAGACCATTTTTTTCAGATTTCGTGGTGTCTTTGCTTGAATGCTCAATCGTAAAACAAACATTGAATAAATTCTCAAGTGTTGGGAGTGGGGCTAGTCACCATAAACAGATGAAATGTTCTTGGGGTATTTTATTTGTGAGTAATCAGATATTTCTGGCTACTGAATGAATTTTAGCATTCTCAAATTAGCAACACAGATTAACCCGGATTCAACCCCGAATCCGTGCTTGTGCTCAAATTTCTCTTTCTTTAATCATTTTTCGTACTGATTAGTGATCAGAGGATTACCTATACTAGGCTAGTTTTGCTACCATGATTGTATTTAAGAAATGCCTCCAAACATGAACCAACTTACCTCAGTAGTTAAAGTAATTGTTGTTGTTACTAGAGATAATGAGTTCCAGCAAGGTGATTGTGCATACATTACCGAATGGTTGAGAGTATTTAGAACAAATACTACTTTGTAATCACTTAGCTTAATAAAAAAAGAAATGCCTTCTACTTTTGCTTATTTTTTCTTTTAGTTCCTAAAAGGTAAGGCCATGGGGGCTTAATTCTGTGCAACTGTATGAACTATTCTGATTGGAACACATTATACTTGTTTCTTATCCTGAAATTTAGATGTTGGAAGTGTTCTATACGATGCATAGCCTAATTAGCTACCCATTTCGACTAAGAAAGAGATCCTTAGTTTGGAATAGTAACACGCTCAAACTATGTGCGTCGCTGCATTGTGCCCCCTTTTTCTTGGTCGTGACGTATATATTATTGTCGGCATCTACTTAAAATCGTTTCCCGGTAAATATCATCAGTGACGGGATCCTACTGTTCACCTCGCATTCTACTATAATTTTCTGCATGATGGCATACTGGTTTTCTATTTGTCTCCTTGACATTGGTAACCCTGTAATATAGACTGCATTTAGCAGCATGGGCTGGGCAAGCACTGGTTGTGAGTTATCTCTGCAAGCATAAAGCTGATGTCGGTGCTGCTGCCATGGATGACATGGGTGCGATTCATTTTGCAGCCCAGAAAGGGCATCTAGAGATTGTCCGAACTCTGCTCTCGGAAGGAGTTTCGGCCAAAGCCACTAATCGCAAGGGATTCACTCCGCTTCACTATGCTGCACAAGGGTCGCATCTAGAAGCAATCAAAGTCCTGTTAAAGAAAGGTGCAAGTCTCAGTGCCAAAACAAAAGCCGGGAAAACCCCACTTGATCTTGCAGTAAGTGAAGAAATTCGCTCGTTTCTGAAAGAACGTGAACAGTCTCCCATGGAAGTAAATCCGGGCGGTAAAAGGAAGGTTGAGCAACCTGATTCTTCAAGGCCACCATTGCCGGAAAAACCAGAAAAATTTGCTGATGAAGCTACCACAGCCGATCAAGATGGGCAAGAGGATGAGGGTTTAAAAAGGAAAGGTGATGAAAATAACCAGGAAGCCTTATCGGAATATAAGAAACCAAGAGTTGTTCTTAATCACCTAATCGACGAAGATGACACTCAAGAAGACGACGAAACCTCTTGAGGACACTAGAGCAGAATGAAGACCATCCTCGAGCATTGCTTGATTACAAGATGGTGAATCAATCAACCAACGCTAACAGTAGAAGCAGTAGTGCCTTGTGATTAGTTTTAGATTAATTTTTGCCATTTGTGTTGAACCATTCAAGTTTCATCTTTCAATGATCAGTAATGTTGTGCTGGAGATTGCCATTTTGTTGAAGTGGATAGCTATGATAGCAGAAGCATTTATGCAGTGATACTGAACGCTGTGTATAACAGTGTTATATGAATTTGGTATAGTATGCCAAGCTTGTTTTTTGTTTAAACTTTGGTTTGCCAAATTATATAATTTGTTTAATTTTAAGATATATATATCAGCCTCAAATTAGTTAAACAGGCGTTTAAACAAGTTCGATATTTAAATTTCACCCGGACTCAACGAAACTCGACTTGGTTGAGTCGATTTTTAATTTTGAAAATTTAAGTTTGATTTATATTGGGTCGGGTTTGAGTTTAAGATAAAAAAAATCTGAGTCAATCTGACATAATATTATAATTATTTGGCAATTGCAATGATACTTATATCTATTTTATTTTTTCATTTAAGCCCTTATTTTACCTAAAAAAAATTATTTAAGTCAGGTTGGATATAGATTTCAACCTAAATTCAGGTTATTCGGGTAGGGTGAGATCCTCTAAAACTTCATATCGAGTTTAATGTATTGTAACAATCTATTAAACTAAGATCCGATATACAATCTTTAACCTCTTATGTTATCAAACAAGTTTAAATTGTTATTCCTAAAGATCTATGGTTTGAGTAGCTGCACTTACAGAATGTATGTATTGCCAACGATCCTTAGTATATTCCTTTATTTTTTTTTCCTAAAAAGAGAGTTTTTTCGTGCGCTTAGGTGACATTTGAATTTTTAGTCAACTGTGTTCAGAATTGTTGATAGAATGGGGTTATTTACTTTCTGAGTCACTAAATTTAGCATCAGATATCATGCAAGTCACTTTCCCTTGCGTAATTCTAATGGAAAAATTGCCTTAGCATGCACACACGATTCAGCATGAAATCCCAAACTTTACTTTGTTTAGAAAATGTGGTCCATATATATGCATGCTGAGTTAGCTTTTCTGTTAAAAGTATGCTACATGCCAAATAAGTCGAATAATTATTATTTGTGTAATTATCTTATTATTATTGGTTTATCAATTTATTATATCTTCTTGGGAGTTAGTTTATTATTGGAAGTTTATTAGTATTAAGATCCTATTTATTAGTATTTTAGAAGCCTTACTTAAGTAGGGTTGCTTGCTTAGTAGGTCTTTTATTTTCACAAGGTATGTAACCTCTAGTTAAAGAAGCTTATGATCAAAACGAGTCTGAGGTTTGGAATTCCCTTCGACAAGTTCTGTTTGATAATCATATATGTCATAATCGTAGAAGAAATAATAATCAAGGACAGAGCCCTGTGAAGCATCACCCAATGACTCGATTGTAAACAAGGGGCCATAACAAAGTATTTAACGAAATTAGCATAAATGATCTGATTTGTAATGGTAAAAGTTTAGTGATGTAATTTGGTGAATTTACAGAAACGGGGCATATATGAAAGTCGATACCAAGTTCAGTGACCTAGAATGTAAATTACCTTGTAGAATGCATTAAATTACTCGAAGATATGGTAGCGAAAAGAGCTATTTAACCTCATTATTATTTAATTACCAAGTTCAGTTGTCATCACCATCACCATCACCATCACCATCACCATCGTCATTATTATTTAATTTAATATTTTATTATTTCTTAACAATCCTGATTTTCTCTACAGGATGGCTCTCATTACATGATTTATACACCATCTGATCCACTTCCATTCGTTGCTGTCAAGGTAACTACAAGTATACTTGAAAGAATTACTGTTTCAGAGTTGAACGTGGCCAGAGGTTCAATTTTTTTATTGAATTGTATTGTATGCTCTTGCGTTTAAAGCCTGTATGTAAATTAATGCATACAAGAAACAGATTGAGAAAGAATCAGTATGAAGTTTATCATGAACTTGGATGCTGATGATGCTGGCTTTGGTTTCTGCAGGATCAGAATGGACTTCTGCAAATTGCTGATGATGTAAGTAACTTTTTACATTTTGCTAGAAAAATTATCGAAGTTTTGACTTTGAATACTTTGTCCTCTAGTTTTTAACAGGGTAATAAGTAGTCTATTGTGTTCATGTTCTGTTATCAACACTATCATTTTGCAATGTAACGCTCTTGCACTTGGTGTTCACTTGCATGTTAGTGTGCATGTTCATACCGACTCTCATTTAGAGGCCATAAGTCGCTAACTTAAATAACCTTCCGGTGTGATTAAATACACATAAGTTCCATCTATCCACTTATTAATTCCAGTATGGGAAGATGTCGCATGAAAGAATATTTGTGGTTTTGATGAAAGCCAAGGGCAGGGAGCTCTTTTGAAGGATTCATCCAAAGGGGTATCAAATGCTGAATTGATTAAAAATTCTCTCTCTCTCTCTCTCTCTCTCTCTTTATATATATATATATGCACTAAGATGACCAGCTTACTCCCATCAACTTACTGCCCCTATCCTTAATACTTCCTCTCCACTTCTTTCCAATAAAAATGCAAGTAAAAAAAGGCCGTAGGTAATTAATTTTGCTCTAAATTCAGATATTGTAAATGGTTTATTGAAGGCTATATATGGAAGAGCACAGTTTGATGAAGGGTTATATTAACTGAGGGAGGTGACTGTAAGAATTAAAGTTAGCAACTGAAATGGTGTTCAAAGAGATTTGAAGAGGATCCCCGTTCAACTCTTCAAGCACTATTAATACATTCCCAGATGGTTTGAGGAATGAGCGGGGCACATGATACCTGCAATTTTAACCAAAACATACCGTTAAGCGTTAAGCGGCACTATTGATACATTGTTCATACCCTCATTTAAGCTAATTGGAAGGTCCATGCTAAACCCTTTAGTATCGTGGCTTCCATGTCCAGCTTCTACAAATTTGGTGTTGATGTAGGAATGTGCAACATGTCCAAGGGACTCAATGTGAAGCACAGGTTGGGAGCAAGTTGAATTGGGTTGAAACCTGTTTTGAATATGATGTTCCTTAGCGTTCATTTATTATTATTATTATGGGGAAAAATATTAAGATGAAAGAAGAATAAATTTGGGGTACCTGAATGTGTACCAAAGGTAATCAGATACGTCCTTGGTTGTATTCATTTGTTCCAACAATGAATCGGATTGCAGTGAGGTATCTAAAAAGTTGGGGATCTCTTCTTTCCACTATTCCCAGCTACTCACTTCATCAAACACTTTGATTACCTTTGCGATTCTCTTATTCGGCATCGTCCTCACCTCTGTGGTGTTGAATACCAAAAAAAAAAAACAGCAGACGGTAGCTGTGTAGATGAGCCTAATATAGGGTAGCTTGGTGGGTGATTCATTGAAGAGTTAATAAAATGTTGTGTAAAGCCCAGCATTTGTAACTGTAAGATCAGGCCTCAACCTCAATGCAGTAAGCAGCTTAATTATAAAATTAAAAGGCTTAATTCTGAAATAAGTGTCCAAACTATACATTTTTTTAACTAGGTGCCCAAACTTTTTTTGAATCATTCAGGTGCCTAAAGTTACAAACATTACCATTTTAAGTACACGGGCCGTAACAACCGTTAAATTTCGCCACTAAGTGACACCTGTCAAGTGCCGATAATTTTAAAAATTGTATTTAAGTTAAAAAAATAAAATTATATATCTTTTTAAAAGAAGCCAAATTTTTCAAAAAAACTTCTAAAAAAACTCAAAACTTCAAAAAATCCAATGTCAATCCCTAAACCCAAGCTAACCGTCGTCATTTGACGTCGATCAAACCTCTGGCAGAATCTCTACCCTACTACAAGCCAAACACGACCATAAACACCATATCTCCGAAAAAGTAAACAGAAAAATCATGACCCAAAATTACGTCTTCGATGAACTCAAACCTCCCAAATTCGTGACATCCATACAATCCAATGACATGCACGATGGCCAGGGAGGCGTCAACGATAGCGATCGTAGCCAACAAAGGAAGTTAGAGATAGGGTTAAGGTTAGAGATTTGAGATTTTTTTTGTAATTTTAGAAAAAATAGATTTTTTTATAAATATAATAATTTTTTTAATTTAAAAAAAAATCAAAATTACAAAATCATGTCACGTGTCACTTAATGAAAATTTTAACAATCGTTATATTCTGGGCATCTAAAATAGGAACATTTGTATCGTTAGACACTTGAATAATTGAGCACCAACTTAATTAAGTGATTAAAGGAATCGTTATTACTTCTAGAGATCACGGATTTAAGTACCATAATTTTAACATGATGATTGAACGTTCATTACAAATATTACTTTATAATCACCTTAAATTAATAATTGTTAGTCAGAGTAAGTATCCGAACTGGATCATGTTGTTGTTTAAGTTAAAGATTTCAAAATAAAGAATTTAATGAATGAATTGATCCCCTGTTTATCACAGATGGATGCAAACCCCAAAAAGAAAAAAGAAAACAAAAGCAAAGCAAAACAAAGATGCTCCTTCTCCCACTAAAGTTGGTACGACTAGCCCTTACCCATCACCCATTCCTCCTCTCCCAAAACACCCACCACGGCCGCCGCCGCCATCACCACCATCACAACCGCCATGATCTCGAAGATGAAGAGGAGGAGGACGACGACAACGATGATCATGAAAACGATGTCTGCAATTTAAAACCCAACTTTTACAATTTTCATTGCCGTTCCTCAAAGCCGCCGAAACCCAAATCCAAAGCCAAAACCAAAACCCCATTGCTTCTTTTTCTCCCTACGAGAGAACTCATCGGCGACACATACAGTTTAGCCAACATAGCTAGAGAAATGGGCATGGATTTGCACCCTGCGCCTTCCCTTTCTCACATCATTTTCTCCTTCTCTTCTTCCTCTCCCTCTCCTCCTTCTTCCTCCTCCTCTTCCTCCGCTTCTTCCTCCGCCTTGTCTCTCTCTTCTTCCTTCTCCATGCCTTTACCCACCGGTGCAGTCTTGATTTCCTTCCCTTCACTTTCTTCCTCTTCCCTCTCCCATCTTCGATCCTTCGTTTCCCTCTCTAAAGGCCTTTTCAAGCTGGTCTTCCTCACCGCCGATGACTCGGGTTGCGATGCGAAACTCGATGATGCCCGCAACTGGGATTGCTGCTCTGTTTCTCTGTTCTCGAAGCGGACGGGCGATCGGATCGATTCCATGCAGTCGTTTTCAAGGGCCTTAGCTGGAA